CAGGGAAGCCCTGGATAAAAGGTCATCGAATCACTGAATTGCAGCATTGCAAGGAATCTCAAGTGGACGCGGGTGGCACTGTGGGTTAAACCACTGAGCCTAGGACTTGCCGATCAGAAGGTTGGCGGTTCGAATCCCCATGACGGGGTGAGCCCCCGTTGCTCGGTCCCAGCTCCTGCCAACCTAGCAGTTCGAAAGCACGTCAAAGTGCAAGTAGATCAATAGGTACCGCTCTGGCGGGAAGGTAAACGGCGTTTCCGTGTGCTGCTCTGGTTCGCCAGAAGCGGCTTAGTCATGCTGGCCACATGACCCAGAAGCTGTACGCCGGCTTCCTCGGCCAGTAAAGCGAGATGAGCGCCGCAACCCCAGAGTCGGCCACGACTGGACCTAATGGTCAGGGGTCCCTTTACCTTTACCTTAAGGGATCCCAAAGCATTATATAGTCCAGCCCTCTGTAATGCAGGGTTCACAGCTTAAGAATCCCTGACAGGTGGCCAACCAACATTTGTTTAAAAACTTCCAGCAAAGAAGAGTCCACCACCTTCTGAGAGAGTCTGTTTCACTGTGAACAGTGACCAGAAGGTTCGTCTTGATGTTGAGTCAGATTCTCATTCTTTTCTAAATGGAAGCCATGGGTTTGAATCCTACCCTCCAGAGCAGGAGAATACAAGCATGCTCCCCCTCTTCCATGAGACAGCCCTTGAGATATTTGAAGACGACTATCCTATCGTCCTGTGTGTCTTCTCTTTCCCAGGCTAAACATCCCCAACTCCTTCAACCACTCCTCACAAGGCTTGGTTTCCAGACCCTTCACCATCTTGGTCACTCTTGTTTTTATGCAGCATCTTCTAAACCAGGGGTCAGCAAACTTTTTCAGCAAGGTCCACTATCCCTCAGACCTTGTGGGGGGCCGGACTATATTTTGAAAAAATAAATGAACGAATTCCTATGGCCCACAAATAATGCAGAGATGCATTTTAAATAAAAAACACACATTCTTCTCATGTAAAACACCAGGCAGGCCCCACAAATAACCCAGAGGTGCATTTTAAATAAAAGGACACTTTCTACTCATGTAAAAACACGCTGATTCCTGGACCGTCCGCGGGCCAGAATGAGAAGGCGATTGGGCCGGATCCGGCCCCCGGGCCTTAGTTGGCCTACCCACCTTCTAAACTCCACGCAAACAAATTAACGATGCGTGCTCACTAAACAAGCCACTGATGTCTAATCTGCCTGGCAACAAACCAGGATAAATATGCTCAATTAACAGGTTGTCTAGAGGCGTCCGGCGTTGCAGCAGCTCACTCAGCCCCCAACATTCCTGCTCAGCCACCCCTTAGCTTGGGGTTCCTGCTGCCCCCACGCAACAGCTCAGAGCTCCCAGGATGCAAATTCATGGAGGAAAGGACTTTTATTATTCTTACTCCCCACTCTCCAGTCCTGGCAGCGGGCCAGTGGGGGGTGGGGGACGCAGACAACTTCTGCTTAACGCCAGCAGGGTTTTTCCGGCTGGGTGGCCCCCTCTTTTTGCTAGCCGGAGAGAGCCGCGGCAATTAGCACATCACCTAACGAAGCTTTGAGAGCCCAGCGAGGGGGTGTTGGCTGCGTTTGAACCGGGAAGCACTAGTCGGCCGCGTAATGAGCGTGCCAGCTGTTCGGTGGCAACTCCCCCTTGTCAGCCGGGTCCCTCCTCGGCTGACACTTTTGCCTGTTTGCCAGGCCCCAACGGAGGGGGAGACAAGACAGGCTGCTTCATGGGTCCCCACCCCAGACGAGCGACAGCTGTGGAGCTTGCAGAGGCCCGGAGCTTGAACAGCTGCAGTTGCGGGGCAATTCCAGCCTTGCGTAATATACTCCCCCCCCCCCAGCTCTTTCCGCACATTTGTATTTGTCACCGAAGAGGGCTCCCCCACGACGGCGCTAAGGATCCATTTAAAACAGTGCCCGCTCCGTGATTTATTCGCTATCAGCGCTCCAGTACTTAATGTTCATTATTTGTGCTTGTTTGTTTTGCTACCTTGTTCTTTTCCCCAGTTTTTTTTTGGGGGGGGGAGACTGCCTTTCCCCCGTTTTTTGTTTGCCATTGCTCACTCCTAAGAATGTGGGTAAAAACGTAAAGGGACCCCTGACTATTAGGTCCAGTCGCGGACGACTCTGGGGTTGCGGCGCTCATCTTGCTTTATGGGCCGAGGGAGCCGGCGTACAGCTTCCGGGTCATGTGGCCGGCATGACTAAGCCGCTTCTGGCGAACCAGAGCAGCACACGGAAACGCCGTTTACCTTCCCGCCGGAGTGGTACCTATTTATCTGCTTGCACTTTGACATGCTTTTGAACTGCTAGGTTGGCAGGAGCAGGGACCGAGCAACGGGAGCTCACCCCGTCGTTGCGGGGATTCGAACCGCCGACCATCCGATCGGCAAGTCCTAGGCTCTGTGGTTTAACCCACAACGCCACCCACGTCCCAGGAATGTGGGGAGAAGCCTTAAATAAGAGTCTAGGGTTGCATCTGGCGCAGCCATCCCGACTGCAGACCCGCAGATGTTAGCAGAGCTCTCTGTAGCGAATATGCAGACTGACAGCATGAAAGCTCGTTGCTCTGAAGAACTTTTGATGCGGATGTCAGCTGCAGGCAGGATTCTGGCAGCCGAGCGATGGAAATATTTGGGGAAAAAATATGCATTTCTTGTTGTGGTTTCGGAACCTACGGATTTGGGCTACTGAGGAAAACATGCACATTTCTGGTCCCTTCTCAATTCTATGATTTTATTTCCTGTTCTTTGGACTCAAGATGCCCAACGTTGATCATCCACGCTAGCTCAGGAAATACGGAAGTTGTGATTAATATTGCTGTTTCCCCATTTCTTCCCCTTATCATTTATTGTTTGTTTGCTTTGTATACAGTGGTACCTCAGGTTAAGTACTTAATTCGTTCTGAAGGTCTGTTCTTAACCTGAAACTGTTCTTAACCTGAAGCACTACTTTAGCTAATGGGGCCTCCTGCTGCCGCCGGAGCTCAATTTCTGTTCTCATCCTGAAGCAAAGTTCTTAACCCGAGGTACTATTTCTGGGTTAGCGGAGTCTGTAACCTGAAGCGTATGTTACCCGAGGTACCACTGTATAGCACAAGCAGGCTTGCTCAAAGATTCAGATCTCTCAGGTGAGAGAGACTGATCAGGTATCTGATTTAACTTTTTGTTAGGGGATAGGTCCCCCTGACGCACCTTTAAAAAAGTGGTCAGTTTTTGCCTCGAAAGCGGCGATTTTAAGGAGGAATGTCTGTGGGGGATGAGAAGTTAAACTCCAACTCTTATCTAAAAGAAGCCCTGGTTTTAATGATTATTTTTACTGTGTGTTTTTAATTCTGTTTAATGCATTTTATTTCGTAATGGCTCCGGCTTCACGAATAAATATTACTCGTATTCATACATTGCATGACGTAATACTCCGCTACTGCGTTTGTGGGTTGTTAGTAATGGTAATGTTGGAAGCTGCCTTCTACTGACATAGACCAATTGCTGCATCTAGCCCAGTGTTGTCTACACTGGCTGGCAGCAGCACTCCAGTATTTCTGAGAGGGGTTCTCTCCCGGACTTACTGGAAGATGCTTGAACTTGGAGCCTTCTGCGCTCCACATATGAGCTACAGCCCATTCCCTAAAGAGTCAGTCCTCGTGACTGAATAAAGAGCTGATTTAAACAGTAATATTGAAGGAATGGGTTTCCCAAACCCAAAACTGACTGTGCAGGCAGTTTGAAACTGCACCAAAATCCCTATTTTTCCTTAGCTAAAATGCTTTAACTTGAGCTCTTGAGCCAAAACCCAGCTGTATAAACAAGTGCTCAGAGCCCTCTCCTTTATCAGTTTGTGACGGCAAGGATGGCCTTGACTGTACCAGTAGAACAGGGAAGACACGTCTGTGCCTTATCTTATATCCTGACCACAAACACGCACAGACCTAGTCTGGGAACAGCGCCAGAGGGTGTTCTTGGAGATGGTGACCTCTTGCTCCAAGATAAGAGTGTAGGAAGGAAAACCCTTTTATGGTCAGAAGTATAGGAAGGAATACCCTTTTATGGTTAAGAGTGCCGGAGCAGGTTGTCCACATGACCCGGAAAAACTGTCTGCGGACAAACGCCGGCTCCCTCGGCCTGTAAAGCGAGATGAGCGTCGCAACCCCCGAGTCATCCGCGACCGGACTTAACTGTCAGGGGTCCCTTAAAGGTAAAGGGACCCCTGACCATTAGGTCCAGTCATGGCCGACTCTGGGGTTGCGGCGCTCATCTTGCTTTATTGGCTGAGGGAGCCGGCGTACAGCTTCCAGGTCATGTGGCCAGCAGGACTAAGCCGCTTCTGGCAAACCAGAGCAGCGCACGGAAACGCTGTTTACCTTCCTGCCAGAGCGGTACCTATTTATCTACTTGCACTTTGACGTGCTTTCGAACTGCTGGGTTGGCAGGAGCTGGGACTGAGCAACGGGAGCTCACCCCGTTGCGGGGATTTGAAGTGGCGACCTTCTGATCAGCAAGTCCTAGGCTAACAGCTCCTTACCTTTACCTTATTTTTATGGGAGCAAGAGAAAGTGCAAGGCGTTCCCTTGCTGAGAAAACAAGGAGGAGGTGCAGAACTTCCTGCAGGAACTATCTGCTATTATTATTATTATTATTATTATTATTATTATTATTATTATTAGACATGGACTTAAGGCAGTTTTCAGCTAAAAATAAGAACAGCTGGCGACATAGGGGGAAATCATTAAAAAACAATTAAACATGGATAGAGTTAAGCCTACCTATTAAAAGCATACGGACAATTGCATTAAAAATGGCAGAGCACCAGCCCTTGCCTTAAAAGAACTCTAGTCTGCTGGAATTTTCTACTGGCAGATCCAACGCACATTCAACTTGCCCTGCAGAGCTTTATCCCAGATACGCAGCCTTGGAATATTGGAGAGACGAGACACAAAGCAATGAAAGTTCTGCCCCGCCGCTGGAATTTACCTCTCAGGACAGTCAGTTTGGCGTTGACGGTGATCTCTGCCACGGAGTTCTGGGCAACGCATTCGTAAATGTTTTCGTCCCTGGGGGTGCGGAGCGGCTGGATCCTCAGGACAGCGCCGGCACCTTCGTCAAACTCAATCGTCTGAAACGGGGAGAGGAAGAGAAAGTAAGTGTTAAAAGGCCAAGGAGTTTTCGGGGAGGGGTTGCTGTTAGCAGAGCACATCTCCAAGTCCCTGTTCCCCCCTTCCTGTATTTTGTTGTCTCAGACTCAACGGAAATAACCCTGTACAGTCGTACCTTGGTTTTCGAATAGATTAGTTCTCAAAGGTTTTGGCTCCCCAATGCTGCAAATCCGGAAGTGACTGTTCCGGTTTGCGAACTACTTTTGGAAACTGAACCTCCGGCGGGGCTTCCGATTGGCTGCAGGAGCTTCCTGCAGCCAATCAGAAACCGCGCTTTGGTTTCCGAACATTTTGGAAGTCGAATGGACTTCTGGAAAAGATTCCGTTCGACTTCCAAGGTACGACTATTTTAAAACTGAGCGTACAATGATAACAGTCATGTAGAAGAGGCATAATTTGGGTCTGACTTCTTGCAATTTTGAGTCAACCACTGTTCTCTATCGGACACCCCCCTCTGACACCCCTTCTTTCTCTTTTTAATTTTTTATATATTTTATGATATTCAACTGTATACATTTCAATAATTTTACAATCGTTTTAACATTTCAAAACTCGACTTCCTTCCCCCTCTTTCTGCGGTTCCTTAAATTTATTTCTAATATTTTCTGCATATCCAAATGAACTTAACTTTGCTCATTTATAAATCTACTTTAAATAGATACTCTTTTAACTGCAGGTTATTGCAACAAGCCTACCAACGTCCTTATCTGTTTACAGTTTGTTTGTAAAATGTTCAATAAACCATTTCCATTCTTTTATAAAAAGTTCGTTATTTGATTTCTTATTTTTCCAGTAAGTTTTGCCATTTCTGCATATTCCATGAGTTTTCGCATCCATCCTTCTTTCGCTGGGGCTTCTTCTTCTTTCCATTTTTGGGCAAGTAACATTCTTGCCGCTGTGATCGCGTGCCTGAATGAATTTCTATAGAGTTTGGGTAGTTCTGTCCCTGTAATTCCCCAAAGGAAAGCTTCTGCGTTTTTTCTTTTACAAACGTTATTTTAAGCAACTTTTTCAATTCATTATATATCATTTCCCAGGATACCACATATGATAAAAAGAACTTTCTTTCTCTTTACATTTCCAACACTCGTTTGATTTGTATTTACCATATTTTTCGCTCTATAGGACGCACCGGACCATAGGACGCACCTTGTTTTAGAGGGGGAGAACAAGAAAAAAAATTCCCCCCTCTCTGCTCAGCGCCCCTTCAGTGAAGCGGCAGGAGAAACGGAGCCCTTCCATTGCTCCTCCCGCTTGGCTGAAGGGGCGCTGGACAGCTCTCCCTCTCTGCTGAAGCCAGGAGTCTTGCTCTCCCAGCTTCAGCAAAAGGAACCCGAAGCCTGCGGAGCGCAGCGCGAGTTCCCGCTGCGCTCCGCAGGCTTCGGGTTCCTTTTGCTGAAGCCGGGAGAGCAAGACTCTCCTGGCTTCAGTGAAAGAAACCTGAAGCTTGCAGGAACTCGCTCTGCGCTCCGAAGGCTTCAGGCGGCTATCCCTGAAGCCTGGAGAGCGAGAGGGGTCGGTGCGCACCGACCCCTCTCGCTCTCCAGGCTTCAGCGAAAGCAACGCGAAGCCTCCGGAGCGCAGACGGAGCGTTCCTTCCATGCTCCGCATTGCTCCGCGTTGCTTTCGCTGAAGCCAAGAAGCCTGCATTTGCTCCATAGGACGCACACACATTTCCCCTTAATTTTTGGAGGGGAAAAAGTGCGCCTTATAAAGCGAAAAATACGGTATACATTTTTTGCCAATTTCTCTTTCTTTCTCTGTCACCCCTTCTCTCTCCTGCTCCCCCCCACTTCCTCCCTGACACCCCACTCCCCCCTCAGCAGCCTTCCAGAGGAAGAACAACGCTTTCAAGATGTCTCAACGGACTGACTACAGAGAGCCTTTTGAAACCAGGCTGAGAGTTGCAGGTTGCCCTTAAAAACGACGGGAGAGAAATCTGTTGCATACGTACGTTGACAAAAACAGGGACTAAAATCACATCACTCTCACACACATACACACTTCACACTGCCCTTCCTCTGAGTCCATCAGACAGAAAAACAACAACCCAGCGACAGATTTGCCATTCGGATTTCCTATTTCCTGCACCGCACGACAGCTATTTTGTGCAGGAGATGAAAATCCTTCTCCCTCCATAGCTTGTGCGTGGAGAAACATGTGAAGAGACGTAAAAGACTTTGCACTGGGGGGGGGGGGTAGGAGAGGGGCACAGAAGAAAACACCCTGGGGACGCCGAAAGGATGCTTAAAAAAATTTAAGCGGCATTTCCATCTCAAACAACACTTTGAGGGACTAAAGATTGCACATGCACGATTTTATCCTACCGGTACTCCCAAAAGGACGCACTGCTGTTGCTCAACCCCCCCCCCCCACTTTACAGTCATACCTCGGGATAAATACGCTTCAGGTTGAGCGCTTTCGGGTTGCACTCTGTGGCGACCCGGAAGTAACGGAGCGTGTTACTTCCGGGTTTCACCACTCGCGCATGCACGGACGGTCAAAATGAAGTGGCGAAACGCGACCCGCGCAGATGTGCTATTGCGTCTTACGTTCTGTTCAGGATGCGAATGGGGCTCCAGAACGGATCCCGTTCGCATCCCGAGGTACCACTGTATCTTCTCAGCAAGCCTGTGATATAGGCTGAGAGACGGCAACTGCCTGAAGGACACCCAGTCTGTTTCCCCGGGATTCGAACCTGGCTCCCAGTTCCTTTCCCAACAACCCGTCTCTCCCTCCTGCCCCCCTCCCCAATTGATGATGATGATCCATTAATTGCATTTATACCCCCCATCTTCCCTCCAAGGGGCTCAATGTGATGTACATGGTTCTCTCCCCCTCCTCATTTTATCCTCACAACAACCGTGTGAGGTAGGGCTGAGGTGGAGAGACTGTGGTCGCCCTGTTAGCTTCACGTGGCCAAGCAGGGATTTCAGCCCTGGTTTCCCTGGTCCTCCTCCCACACACAAACCACTGATTATAATCACTGATTTATAAATCTCCTCCTAAACATCATCTAAACCAGGAATGTCCAAAGTCCGTTTCGGGGGGCCTAATCTAGGTTTTATCTGGCCCCTGTGGCAGTTTATTTCTCGGGGTCAAATCCTTAAAAAAGCGGAAAAATTTCAATCCTAAAAAAAGCCAACAACTTATGGTTGGCCCTCACGCATAATAATTATAATAATAATTAATAATAATAATAAATTATTCTTTATACCCCGCCCATCTGGCTGGGTTTCCCCAGCCACTCTGGGTGGCTTCCAACACAATATTAAAACACAGTAATGCCTCAAACATTAAAAGCTTCCCTAAACAGGGCTGCCTTCAGATGTTGTCTAAAAGTCTGGTAGTTGTTGTTCATGTTCACTTCATCAAATCTGGCCCTCTTTGGGAAAAAAATGGGCACCCCTGATATAAACTTTAGACCCTTGAGAACATTTTAAAAACATGCAAACAACAGATGTGTTTGAAGCAACACTAGAGTCCTAAATGCTCCCATGTCAAGAATCTATTTTTTTTTCCATCGCAGGGGTTGGACTAGATGGCCCCGGGGTGCCTTCCGACTCCAGGGTTCTAGGACGCCCTTATTCTCCCCCCTGTAAAGGCAGGAGACGCTTACCTCAAACCTCTGGGAGTTCACTTTCTTCCCCTTCTTGTTCCAGGTGACGCGGGGCTTGGGGTCTCCCCTCGCTTGGCAGACGAAGGACGCCACCCCTCCAGAGACCCCAATCTGGTCCACAGGATTCTTGATGAACTCGGGGGGACCTTTATGTGCAAGAAACAGAAAGGGGTGCGGGGAGGAGGGAGGGAGAGAATATTGAATAACTTGAAATATTTCACAAATGACGAATAAAGAAAGAGTCAAAATGTACGGATTTTAAAAACAAATTTGTAAGCTTTCAAAAACCAGCAAACCTAAGGTGAGTTGCTTCGCTCTTTAACTATTAGTTTGCCTTATTGCACACCTATTTAAGCATTTTGCAGCATATGTGTGTCGAGGAAGGCAACCAAACTGTCAAGGGTCTGGAAATTAAGCCACATGCTGAATTGTGGAGGGAATTAGGTATGTTTAGACTGGAAAAGAGGAAACAGAGAGGAGATAGGATAGTTATCTTCAGATATCTCTCTCATATGGAGGATGGAGAAGTCGTGTTTTCTCCTGCTCTGGAGGGTAGGACTCGAACTCAGGGCTTCATATTACAAGGAATGAGATTCCGACTAAACACCAGGAAGAACTTTCTGACAGTAAGAGCTGTTAAGACTGTGGAACGGTCTCCCTCGGGAGGTTGTGGACTCCCCTTCCTTGGAGGTTTTTAAGCAGTGTTTGGAGGCCACAAAATTCTGGAACAGCCACAGGCCTTAAAATTTACCCATCATGTGGTTTACTGGTTTAATGGTTGATCGGGACAATGTGTCACGGTCCAGTTCACGGACTATCAAAGTCCTAGCGAAGGACGTCGGGAACGGGGGCAAGTTGGCGGGGTGGGAGTAGGAACGGGAGTCCAGAAGCCAGGAGTTGGGAAACAAAGAGTCCAAGGGTCAGGGAGCCGGGAGTCAAGACGCCAAGGGTCCAAGGATCAAGAAGCAGGGAGTCACAAAGTCAAACACAGCAGGGCAGGGAACGTGTTGCTGTGGCAAAGAGCTGAAGGGAAACGCTGACCTTATATCCCTTCCTGGCTCTTGCCACCAGGTGCTGTGAGTTACCAATCGGCCTCACCTGTGCGGCCGCGCCTTGCCTCTCTAGAACAAACTTAGGAAGCCCCCAGTCCTGCAAAGCCCTACTGGTCACAGGGCCTGGCTCCTGCACGCACACCTGACACCCTTTCCATTAGTGTCAGAATACATTTATGGGATGGCGGGGGTGGCGTTCGCTGCAGCTGCATCACACCCAGCAGACATGTGCAATCTGCACTATGCAACATTTTGCAGCTGCACATAAACCCACTCCTGTCCTCAAGAACGCAGAAGGCAGCTTTATGATCAAGAGCGTTTGCGCGGGTTGGGGTTTTGTGTTTTTTTGGAAGGGGAGGAAATCACCCAAGCACAGCTGTGGCTCTGCTATTTCAGTATTTCAGTAAATTTCAAGCTAACGAGACGGGAAGAGGCAAGGATGGAAGTGAAATAAGGAGAGAGAGAGAGATGCCACGCAGAGAGAAAGAGTTCCTCACATCGGGTCCTGTCCCAAATCAGCTCTGGGTAACTTGCAGTCGGAACCCAAACCAAGCGGAACCATAGCTGTCAAGCGTCCCTTACTTGGCGGGAAACTCCCTTATCCCAGCGCCGTGTCCCGCTGCTGTCCCTTATTGATGATGTCCCTTAAATCTCCCGGGTTTCAAAGGAAGCAGCTCCTCTCCCTCCCTCCCTGCTTGCCTGGGGACTCGCCTTTGCTCAGCGCTTCCCAGCAGAGAGGTGACGGTGGTTTTCCTTGCTGCGTCCCCTTTGCCGGGTTGCTGCGCTGTGGGAACCACCGCTTGAGGCTTCGTTTGGCTGCTGGCTGGGCTTTCTGCCTTTGGCTCGGAGGGGCTCAGAGGTCGAACATACCTGTGTCTGGAAAATCCCTTATTTTGGCTGCTGATCCCTTATTTTCGAGGCTGCTGGTCCCTTATTTTCAAATCTGTAAGTTGACAGCTATGAGCAGAACCCCACCCCAAAACTGACCTCACAGTTTATTTTTCTGGTGCAGAGGCCCAGTTGCACCATGCAATCGATGCTTCATCAGTCCACTTTAAACAGTTAAAAGATGACTTAGGCAAAGTGTGTGTGAACTTAACAGCGCTTAGCTGATTTTGGGGTCGCTGTTTAGATAATGTTGTTAATACTGTTTTATAGATTACAAATGCTGCATTGATTTGTTAATCATATAATACGACTTTTGCTGCAGTTGTTTAGCTTATTCTAACTGCTGTTTCGTTAACAGCGTTTCATAGATCCATTGATCTATCCATTGTTCCACTGATGTGTTTATTTTTTTCATATGAGCATTTATTTGTGATGCTCTATTATGCTCTTCTTGTTTATTGTTTGTAAGCCACTTTGAGATTCATTTGAATGGAAAGATCAAAATCCTGGGAATTGTGTGGTTTGCTGTGGGCGCTATGGGTTGATAGGAGGACACCCCCCCCCCATTCTGCTCACAGAACGGCAATTCCCTTTTAAAATATTTTTATTGAGACTTTTCAACATACATTATTATTATTATTATTATTATTATTATTATTATTATTATTATATACTACCCAGCCCTCCCTAGCCAAGGCCGGCCTCAGGGCGGCTAACAAGCAATAATAAAAACAAGTTGAATGAATACAACTTAAAAACAAGGTTAAAATACAACATTAAAATATTGAAACATTAAAGTATTCAAATGCAGCCTCATCACAGGAGGAGAAAGGAAAAAGAAAAATGTAAGAGGAGGAGGGAATCAAATTGACTCCAAGCCAAAGGCCAGGTGGAACAACTCTGTCTTACAGGCCCTGCGGAAAGAAATCAGATCCCACAGGGCCCTGGTCTCAAGAGGCCGGGGCCAGTGCTGAAAAGGCTCTGGCTCTGGTTGGGGCTAATCTGACTTTCTTAGGGCCCGGGACCTCTAGGGTGTTGCTATTTATGGACCTTGAGGCTCTCCGTGGGGCATACCGGGAGAGGCAGTCCCGTAGGTACGAGGGTCCTAGGCCGTGAAGGGCTTTAAAGGTCAAAACCAGCACCTTAAATCTGACCCTGTACTCCACCGGGAGCCAATGCAGCTGGAAAAGCACTGGGTGAATATGCTCCCATGGCAGAGACCCCGTGAGGAGCTTCACTGCAGCATTCTGCACCCACTGGAGTTTCTGGGACAGCTTCAAGGGCAGCCCCGCGTAGAGAGAATTACAGTAGTCAAGCCTGGAGGTGACCGTCGCATGGATCACTGTGGCCAGGTGGGGGCAGGAAAGGGACTCTCAAGAGTTTCCTCCAGCACCTGAATTCAAAAGCATCCATTCTTCGGCGATCAGCCTTCTTTATGGTCCAGCTCTCACTTCCATACATCACTACTGGGAAAACTATAGCTTTAACTATACAGACCTTTGTTGGCAAGGTGATGTCTCTGCTTTTTAAGATGCTGTCTAGGTTTGTCATTGCTTTTCTCCCAAGAAGCAGGCGTCTTTTAATTTCGTGGCTGCTGTCACCGTCTGCAGTGATCATGGAGCCCAAGAAAGTAAAATCTCTCACTGCCTCCATTTCTTCTCCTTCTATTGGCCAGGAGTTGATGGAACCAGTGGCCATGATCTTCGTTTTTTTGAGGTTGAGCTTCAGACCATATTTTGCGCTCTCCTCTTCCACCCTCATTAAAAGCTTCTTTAATTCCTCCTCACTTTCTGCCATCAAGGTTGTGTCATCTGCATTCTCTCTCTAGCATCTAGATATAATTTCCCCACCCCAGCTCCAACTTCTTTCCCTGAGTTGCCTCGTCTTCCTTGACTGAAAACGTATTTTTAGCCTTGTCTCATTGCGGGGAAGATTCTTGCAGGCAGGTAAGTGTCCAGTGAAATAGAAGCAGCAAGATTCACGCACCCCCCGCCCAATGAATACCAACAGCTTCTTCCAGGCTCGGCGACTACAAGGTACCCAAACGCCTTGCACACCTTTCAGAGCGAACTCTGACCCGCCTAGCGCCCTCAAGCGTGTTCTGTCCCTGCCACAACACTTGACATCGCTGCCACACGGAGCAGAGCATGACCCGCTGACAAAAGGTGAGCAAGCTTTGTGTTTTGATGCGCACGAGGGGCACGATCCGCTTGGATTTAACTCAGCTCCAGCACGGAGCACTTTTGGAGACGCGCCATGCAGGCGAAGGGGGACGCAAAACGGGGGTTGCCTGTGTGCACCTCAAAACACCGTTTCTGAAGTTTCGTGGGATCCTAGCAATTGTAGGGCTGGAAGGGACCTCGAGGGACATGTAGTCCCAAATCCCTGAAATGCAGGTTTGGAAACAGCAGCAATTGCCAACAGTAGAAGAATGGCGACAGAAGGTAATGGAATATGCAGAAATAGCTAAATTAATTGGGGAAATCCGACAACAGGGCAAAGAAACATTTCAAAAAGAATGGGGAAAAGTTATGTCGTACATAGGGAAGATAAGGTGAAATAGTGAAACCGGTAGAACTGAAATAAACCTCATAATGTGAAATAAAAAGAAAATTCTTGTTGTTGTTGTTTAGTCATAGAATAGAATAGAATCATAGAGTTGGAAGAGACCACAAGGGCCATCGAGTCCAACCCCCTGCCAAGCAGGAAACACCATCAGAGCACTCCTGACATATGGTTGTCAAGCCTCTGCTTAAAGACCTCCAAAGAAGGAGACTCCACCACACTCCTTGGCAGCAAATTCCACTGTCAAACAGCTCTTACTGTCAGGAAGTTCTTCCTAATGTTGAGGTGGAATCTTCTTTCTTGTAGTTTGGATCCATTGCTCCGTGTCCGCTTCTCTGGAGCAGCAGAAAACAACCTTTCTCCCTCCTCTATGTGACATCCGTTTATATATTTGAACATGGCTATCATATCCCCCCTTAACCTCCTCTTCTCCAGGCTAAACATGCCCAGCTCCCTTAGCCGTTCCTCATAAGGCATCGTTTCCAGGCCTTTGACCATTTTGGTTGCCCTCCTCTGGACACGTTCCAGTTTGTCAGTGTCCTTCTTGAACTGTGGTGCCCAGAACTGGACACAGTACTCCAGGTGAGGTCTGACCAGAGCAGAATACAGTGGCACTATTACTTCCCTTGATCTAGATGCTA